TAGCATTGAGCCTTTCCTTTTCTTCTGTCCTTGTTGAGACACTTGATTTAAAGTGTTTCCCTGGCTTTTACTTTGAGGGGCTCATTGATGTGCTGCACCAGTTCCCTTCCTTGAGGACCCTTAGTGTGGATGCTGAGCCCTCGGATGACTTCTTGCGCACAATCAGCCCTGTGTCCCTGCCTCGCCTCGCCACGCTGGTTGTGTATCCTCCCATGAACCCAAGCATCCGCGCATGGCTCCACGAACCCGCCATCCAGGATCTCCTCATCAGGAATCCTGATCTGCACCTATTTTTTCATAACAGAAGAGGCAGAGGAGTCTACGCCTGCCTCTGCGTTTGGTGCTGTCGGTGTCGGGGTCGTCGCAGCAGCGAGGCGGATTGTTCAAAGCAACCGGTTTCGTCTCACAAAAGAAAGGCTGGCTGCAACTGCTTTCAAGTAGCTGTGTCGCCCTCTCAGCCCACTGACTAATCGGGCCTTGCGGTTGAACTCATTCGGCTGGTGAGTAGTACCATTCGTCTTCCGTAGACTTTGTTTTATACAATGGACAGTGCGCAACTTCGCGCGAAATAAGTAATGAAACTTAGGTATGATTTAAAAACATTCTATAATCATTATTCTGATGTTCAGCGCACTATGTGCCTTCCACGTATGCTCGATTTATAAATACTATTTTTGTTTTCACATACTGTGTTCTTTCTAGATTTAAAGAGTTACGTTAAAGATCTTATCCTTAAGATCAACTCCTGGAAATTATTATGGAACCGAATTTAATAAAAATTGTGTACAACTGTGTTAAATTTAATATGCAGATTCTTGCTTGTAGTCAAGTGCGGGCTCAGCGGCCTGATCAAATCTGGGTCCGGGGTCAAAATGGATTCAATTTTGAGCACTATCGAAAACGCATAAGACAATGAAAAACTAAGGATGAAAGCTGAACAAGAGTTGTCCTTTTTCTGTCGTTTTTAAGTGTTTCTTTTCGTTGGTAGACAGCTGAATTTTGGCATGTGGTGATCAAAATCTTAGCTGGAACGGCAGAGCCGTTTAGGAGTAGTGCTCACGCACTAATTTCGACCTTTTCATGCTTAACTATGCATGCTCAGAAAAGAACGTAAGGAAAGTGTAATATTAAGCATAACTGTACATTTAATAATGCATAAAATGTACGAAATTTTGCATAATATGATACCCTCCTTTTACATATCTGTGCATGCATGACTACTCTTAGAAATGCATAATTATGCATAAAATGTACACAAGAGTTTGCGCGCGCGCACACACACTGACAAAAGTTTTCAACCCAACCCAACTTTACTGGCGTCGCTGTCGCTCAGCCCATAAACCAGTGATTTTTTATATATAGTTTCATTTTATTGATAATGATTGGAAAACATATTTACTACCTTATGTATGGGTCGTCAATATTGACTCGGTAATGAGATTCTAAAGTCTCAGGGTGAAAGTACAGCCGTGATCTGCGGGGTGATACAACATTGGAACGTATAGAGGCTTTTTTACCTGACTATAACTGTCTCTCTCGCAGACTTTAAATTATCATGTCTTTTTTTGTGCATAAGCTTTGCACAAAATTGAGCATGTGACGCAATCTACAAAGGAACGTGACATTTTGTCACATTCGTTTCAACGTGACGTCACAACGTTGCTGGATTGACAGTGCGCTCTCGTGTGAGTGGTTGACAGAGAATGTCTCTAGACGAGTCAGAATCTATACGGGTTTCATCAGTAAAAATGAGGGTTAAAACGCCTATTTCACGGCACAAGCATTTAATATATTTCTGACTTTGCACATACATTGATCTTTTTATTAGAACGTTTGGAAGTGGACTTAATGTACAGCCGTCGCTGCCGGAATGATCACGCAGGAGACACAAACGTCATGCCCCTTTTGTTGTTGTCGTTATTTTTAAAACTTTGACTATCACAATCATAAACATATAAATGACATTAGATGTTAGGATTGTTTCGTTTTGAGAGGGTGCTTGTATTGTGCAAGAGCTTACTGATGTGGACTGCGAGGTGCAGCGCTCAGGATAACGGCTTGATTCTGACCGCTTCCGTTAAAGGGAATGTATTAGGTGGCGTCTGCCAGTGCATAGAATGGGTCACAAAGTGTAGGTTTTCATTCTGACTCTTGTAAAACCTTTGACAAGGTGCACGTTGAGCCATGATTTCACAGCGGAGTCTCGGACACGATTTCAAGAAGATCGGGACACAATAAAAGCTTGATATCTGTTTCAACATTTGATGTTGAGCCACATGCAACGTTTGCTGGAAAAAATTAGTGCAGAAAATAGTAGAAACCGGCTTTGCTTTCACATTTCGATGAGAAATTCATTCCCGAACTTTACCTTTCTTCCATCACAAGTGTGCAAAAAGTTCTGATGTCCTGCTCCATTCCAAAACGGGTCGCATTTAGGGATGGAAACGAAGCGTTGCAAGCTCATTCGGGTTGCAGGATCACGGCACTCACCAAGCATAATGTGAAGGCATCTGAATGGTGCTGATGGCTCCTGCAAATGAAGTAGGGTCAGGGCGGGGAAGAACCAAATACAGCAGGAGCGGGGAAAAATAGCACACTCCTATTTTAAACTGAACTGTCACATTCTGATTCTAGGAAATACTGGATCCTACACCAAAGCTTAACAGTCTTTCCCGCCCTGGCCCTCAAGCAAAAGGACATTTACTCGTAGTATTCTTAGGATGAGTAACTCTTAAGTGAAGTGAACGAGGGGACAACCACTCGCGAAGTCCTGTGTACACTTGATTTGGCGAAATCTTGCGCGAAATCGGTAGAAATCTCGCGAAGTCCCGTCGAAATCTGGTGAAATCTCACGAAATCCCATAAAAATCTGGTGAAATCTCGCGAAATCCCACAAAAATCTCACAAAATCTGGCATAATTTTGACGCGAAATCTTGCGAAATCGCGACGAAATCCTTACTCTTAAAGAATCCTGTGTACAAAAAATTACGAGTGGTTGCCCCCTTGGAAGTGAAAGACTCGTTAAATCCGGTTCTGGCCGAAGTGTGACGTCCACGTGTGAATTTGCTTACTTTCGTAACCGAAAATGGCCGTAACCCATAGTTTTTCAAGCGTTATCATTTTAGTGGTAACACAACAGGATACACAGTAGTGTAATTGACAAGGACGCATCTATATTAGATCGTACTTAGGTGGGTACATTATCAAAATTTCGAGATTTTGTCTAGTAAATTTCAGGAAGAAAAAGGCTTAAGCATGATGCAAACGGAGGCCTTCTTTGATTTTAAAACTTAGAGAAAAATCGTTGCACACTTGCACTGAATTCGCTGTAGCATGGATTCAATTGCACTGTAAGACTTTTGCACATACTAAATTAGGAATGTATGCTTTTTACAATTTTACATAAATCAGGAACAATTCTCCTATTGTGTTCGAGTATTTATTAAATTTTACAGCAGACCTATTCATGTAAAAATTTGCTGATACATATTATAAATTACAGCTCCGCAAATACGTAAATACTTCCGTACAGAAAGTCCAAACTGAAAGTGTCTTAGAGTGATTCTCACGTTTCGGGGTAGTTTTGGCGTCTCTGATTTGCCGAAAGTGAGAAATATCCAATTAAGTTTTTCTGATTATTGGGGTCCTGGATGATACTAGAGTTATGGAAATGGTATTTGTAGTAAAGACCTTGTACTACCTTCCTAAAAACATGAGCCATAAGGTATTCCCATACGTTTTAGTGGGTGTTTTGATCACGGAAATTACGTTATCACGGAAGTTACAAAGTGTGAAAATCGGCTTTAACGGCTGACTCGGGCTTGCTGTGGCTTAAAAGTCGTTCCAGGGTCAAATGATACTCTAAGACCTACATTTAGGCGGAAAATTTTTTCACCTAGTGCTGCTGCAACATTGGGTAAAGGGTGCCACGGAAGTTACAGGTAATTGTTGATACACGCCATTTTATAATGCTCCAGCCCGCTTTGAGACCGTGTACAGCATCTTAGATTTCCGCGACCCATGCAATTATATCCCAGGGACTCCACTTTGATGGCTTGTGTCATGGAAAGTTTAAAGTTTGGCTTGGGGAGAAGTCCAGAGCTGCCTTTTCGAAATTTGTGTAGTGAAATTGAATATACGGAGGACATTTTTCGTTGCAGCATAAGTACCTTTGAAAGAAGTCTGGCGTATTGGTCTTCGGTCGAAATTAGCTCGTGACATGCCAAGCTTCGAATCCCCATCGACAGTTGGCAGCATTTTCGAACCACACCGCCACACTGGGGGCGGAAAGTTCGAATATGTTCTCTTTGGACAATCACGGAAGTTACATTTGGGGTATTCCAAACGCTACGTAGACCAAACCAACGAACGTGAACTTTTCGAAATGTGTGCGTTTAGTGGGCAATGGCCCTCCCTAACATCAGAAACAAACCCCATGTCGATATCTGCGCTCGTTTGGGCACAGGAGTCAGAAGAAACGAAACTACCCCGAAACGTGAGAATCGCTCCTTACGGTAAAAGGCTATGTAGTTCTTTTTTTTTTTTTTTTTTTCGAAAATTGAAAACTTGACAAAATATTGCAAAATATCTACAAGCATCAAGCGTGTAGAATGTACCAGTATGAACTAATTTGCACAGTCAACTGGCAAAACTGACAGTGGGGGAGTGGCCCCGCCAAATAGCATAACAAACCAAAGCACGTCTCGGAGCACAGAAAACAACAAAGGAGTTGACGTGCTGAGGCCGCGACGGCAGTTGATGCAGTGGATGCATCGTGCAAACGACAAGTCCAAGTCCCGACGCGCAACTGATGTGCCGTCCGGAGACTGCCCCTGTTCTGCAGTGTGCGTGACCACGAGCGCAGGCCGGACTACACTTGGGGGAGAACGGCCATTCTTTATTAAGGGTGCACGGTGCATACCATTAGCAATGCAGCAGGGGAGGAGGGGCGGCACACGCAGTGCAGCACGCCGCTCGGCGCCGTCTCACTCACTCGTCGCTTTTCCTTGCAACAGCGAGGACGCCACTGCCAGTTGCCACCCCTGCGTCGTCATCCAAATGAACTGGTTGAGTTTGGTGCTTCGCACATTCTGCACGCCCTTTACTTGCGCACCTAGCAAGACACCGCTTCTGTAGAACCGAATCTGGATCTGTCACTTGCAGAGGTTTCATTGCACAACGTTCCTCTACAGGCGATAATTTGTTTACCGCACGTAAGCAAGCCTCATTATAGTGAGCAGAGTGTAATTGTAGTTTGAGTAAAGTGTACACTCTAAATCCAGGTGGGAGGTTGATCCATCGCTGTCAACCATTCGTCGCGCAGACAGCATCTCTGTTCTTGCACAATTTTTGTACTTGATAAATTTACCCGGACCATGTGGCCGTTTGTTTTTGCACAGTACTTCCGTTACTTGCATGTATACAATCGCCTTCAGAGTTCAAGATTTGACTTCTATCTGCTGTTGAAAATTCATTGGCAGCCGAGCTAGTGCAGCTACTCTGTGCATGAGCGAGTTTTAACCATGTCAGAGTTTTAAGTGGTTTGTTTTACCAGCGAAAGCACTGAAAATTGAATGGCCGGACACATGGCAGAATTCTGGCGTGACAGGAAATTCACGCCGAAATACGGCATGACGTGTGCGTCACGCCGCCACCTGCGTCACGTTAGGAAATTCACGCCAAAACTTGGCGTCAATTTCTGAGTCACGCCGATTTTTGGTATGACTTTTCTGCCATGCCGTTTTCTTGGCGTGACACTTAATTCACGCCCCTGCAGCAGCACGAACACTCCAAATTGAAAGGCGGTAATATTTCCACCCTTTTGTGGCAGTACTTTTTTTAAAGGCGGGCTCCAGATTTTACCGCCTTTGGGAAGGCGGTATAAGGGAGGGTGGGGCAGTTTGAAACAGGGGCAGTTTGAAACAAACACCAATATTAAAGCAATGAGGGCTGCCGAAGGAAATGTGAGTGTGCACAATCTTCTATTTTCATGATCTTACTGATTTGCGATCGACACGGTCGCCAACGGTGCACTTAAGTGGCCTTGAAAACAAGGTGAAACTTCGGTACCATTGAAATTGGCCTAAACTTAAATTTCTAAGTCACGGGAGTTTCCGTCTGGGTTTCGCTAGTAAGCAATCATCTCCCGCGCACTTACTTCATCTTTTAGTACCATATTAGACAAACGTAACGCACCCTCGGACACTGACGTAGCCCTCACCAAGTCCGGCGGGGAGCAGCACAATTGGAATGGTGCCCTCTGGGGCAGTTTGAAACAGAAGTGGATGGGGCAGTTTGAAACAGCAATATCACCAGAAAAACCGTTTTATATTATGGAAAGCGAGCATAATGATGGAAGTTCGTAATTCCAGATGGCATCAATGAAGACATTGTATGTTTGACCCGTGACTTGCATCAAAATGCAACATTTATAGACTATTGCATGTTGTGAACTTTGCGGGCAGGAAAAGGCCTTCATTTCAACTCCAAAACAGTAATGTGTGTTAACAACTTTTCTTCGTCTCTTTAAGACGAATCCATTGCCATACAAATTTTCGAAAAATTCGCATTTTGAAAAATATGCTTTTTTGGCTTTTTAATTATTATTAAAAATGTTTAAAAAGTTCGTCAAAATGTCAGCACTTGCATGGCAACGTCTTTTTGAGTCTACTTGAATCTATTTGAGTTGTGTACGCGGCTCTTCTTGGCCCGTGTTGACTTCCATACAGCTGTTTCAAACTGCCCCATCGCTGTTTCAAACTGCCCCGGCCTGGGGCAGTTTGAAACAGATGCAAGGGTTGGAGTTTCACCTTATTATTAACGTTGAACGAACTTGTAAGCGTCTGCGGGCGTTTTCTAGTCTAGATAATGAGTCATTCTATCAATCTAGTGCAAACACGCAGCATATAGACCAACAGTACGATTATAATAACGAAATTCCAAATTCTGTTTCAAACTGCCCCACCCTCCCTTAAAGAACAATCCTCGCCCACACTCGACCCGGTTGGCGCGAGACGTCATTGCCCAAAACTAGAAGAAACTGAATAATATTGATATGCATGCGCAGTCACAGGCGTCCATTTTCTTTCTGCAACTTGTTTTGTTAACGCGACGAGTGACTGCGAATATCTGATATTGTTATGGGCAGTTACGGGTCGGCTGTACGCACGACATAGGCAGTATTCGCAGTTAGAGGCCTACAAAAACAAAAGCAGAACTAACCTGAAAATCATAGACAAAAGGGCCGCCGTCGGTTCGCGTTTTTGTCCAATATCCATAAATATAATCAAGTTTCCTCTGGTTTTGTGAGATGGCGACCTTTTGCCAACTGTGTCGTGCGTGGGCGAAGATTGTTTGCTATCATCCAAGCTACAGTGAAAGTGCGTGTAAAATGAGAAAACCGTCAAAACTTCATAAGTTTAACACATCTGTGCTCTACCAAGCCCAGTTTACCAGTGCAGAAAGCTTCAAGATTTGATGCTATCTGTTTTGGGTGACTCAACCTGTTGGCCATATTTATCTTCTGAGCAGCAGTTTCACTGCTATGCACTCAATCATGATTCATGTGAGTACATCTGACCTCAAGAAAACTGAATGACAGCGGCTATGCTGCAAGTATGGACCTCTTAGTTTATGAGCGTCACAACTGTCGTTAGGAGTCCCCTGTGGGCCTGACAACCTACACCGGTAATTAGACAAGTTTTCTATTGATTTTGTCATAATCAATCATAATCTAGTAATTTATCCAATCTGCCATGAATCCACACATTACCTAGGATAAATTAACAATTTTGGATTCAGCGAGACATTTAAATCTGACCACAATGGTACAGTGCAGGCGGTAAATCAAACAACTGCCTTTTGATGAGCGGAATTTATGGCTTGTGTTTGGCGGTAATTTAGGTACTCCCTCTGACTGGCGGTACTGATTCAATGTTTTAATAACTGATGGAATAGTTGTGGCGGTAAATGAAAGTACCGCCTTTGATTGGTGGTAATGATGGCATGTATAAGGCGGTAATTTCAATACCGCCTTTTTTGATACATTTGTACCGCCTTTCAATTTGGAGTGAAGTCACGCCGATAGATTTTCAGTGAGTAATTTGACATTAACGTGTAAACCACCATACTATTCGTCTCCTGTCGTAAAACTTCATAATCGGAGTTCCTTACCGATTTTGACTCGAGGGGTGAATTACTCACCGTTCTGGTGTACTCAAAAGTACACGATTACGGATGAATACACCTTACTAATCTCAGAAATTTCAAATTTTTAAACGTTTTAAGAGGCTTTATTTATCGGTTTAGATGACAAACAACAGCATATCATAAAATCGGAGAATCCTGCTCCTTTAACACGTGAGTACACGTAGGCAAATCTGTACACATAAGTACAGTAGTGATTCACCCCTCGTTTTGACGACACCAAATGATTTAGCAATTACGTGAAAAGAACCATATACTTTGTCTCCTGTCCTACTCCACAATCAGAATTCCTAACTCGTCTTGATTAGCCCTACACCACCGTACACCTGTTTCACCGAAACCCAGGGTTTACTGACTACACACAGATTGCCGTGAGACGGAATGCGACACGAATTGAACGTCTGCACACTCCTAAGCCTTAATTATAAGATACGACCCCATGTACCAAATTAAATGAAACGTGGACATAGAACGCACAATCTGTGAAAAAAACAACGAAACAACAGCTTAGCACATTGAACTATCAACGACCGACGCAATACCATACATATTTGTTAGGACGTTACATCACCCAACCTGCGTGTTTCCTCTCACATAGAAATACAGTACACCCAACCTCATGATCGAATATCACAATAAACATAATCAGACCTTATTACGGCAAAACGCCGAAAGTAGACGAAAACTAACTGCGTGAAAACAAGTGCTTTACGTTCAAACTCTTACACTGAAATTCGAAGGGTGAGACATCTGACCGATTTTCGGTGATACAAAAAGTATGACCGAAAAACGGCCATACACAAATGTATGGCCGTAAAAGGGTCATACTTAAACGTATGACCAAAAAACGGTCAGACATCAGCGAGACTGGCTGTTGTTTAGCTTGGGGATATATCAGCCTTTACCTGTGATACACTATCAAGTATGACCGTTTTTCGGTCATACATCGAAGTATGACCTTTTTTCGGTCTTACATTTCAGTAAGACCGTTATAGCGGTCAGAAGTCTCACCTTTCTATTTTCAGTGTTTATGTGCGTGCCAGAAGAAGGAATCTAGAAATGATTGACGCCATTGAGACGTCAGGGAACGGAGCCAACCGAATTTTCGTCAAAAATGCAACATACGAGATACGCTTTTAGTGACAAGGAACGGGGGGGATGCGATCAGTGCTCGCATTGGCGCGCTCGTTGTCTTCGCCTGCCCGACCTGTCCGGCCCAAGAGGGCATAAGGGGTGAGGTGTGAGTGCGTTTCACCGAAAAAATATCACAGAAATTCCTATCTTGAAGTTGATTTATGGTTCTCAGGGTTGACGCTTAAAATCTTAAGGAGCATTTGAAGCATTTGGAAAGATACAAACTATTAAATTTGTTATGCAAATAATTTTTTTTAAAATTAACAAGTATTTCATGACAAGTGTTATAACAAGCTAATTTTCGTTGTAATGCCTAAAATATTTTGTAAGGTTTTTAGAGTGTTCTAATTGAGGCGAGAGTTACTTCAATAGGCTGCACAAGTTGCGATATCATTATTTTTTGCTTGCGTGTGAGCTGGCGTATCCAACCAGCCGGGTTGAACGAAAATTCAATTGGCAGGTGCGCTATCCCTAAATTGCCAATCTCAACTGAAAATGCTCTTAATGATTCGTACTTATAACATTGCAAAGAGAACAAGCAGGTCAACGTGGGGTCGGGACGAGGTCGAGGGATGCCATTTTGACGTCTAAATAATGATATCCCTTGGCATCAGTTTGACTTCATTTGAATTTCATTTTGACTTGCTGTTCTCCGTGGGATGGAAAACATCGTGCGATAACTCATTTTCAAATGATCGCGTGCCAGATCTCGGCCAGTTTCAGTAGG